CGCCCAATCAGAGTGCCACAAAAGTTTGAGTGAGGAACTTGTTCATATAGGTCTATAGACTACTCCACCAGAAAATCTCATGATAATAACCATTGTGTGTGGCTCTACAGCCTCATTTTTGGTGGACCTATTTTGGTGGTTCGGCGCATTACGCGAATCCGCGCATTACGCGCACGGACACGGTAGTGCATTTACATACGAATCACCGCTAGCACCACCATCGGTCCGGTATCTTCCCTCGGCGACTGCGATCGGGATACACGTCCGTTTCAGGGTACTCAGACACCGCTTCTGAAGCCGCGGTGGATCGGCTTATGTGTTTGACGTGCGTTCGGGAAGCTTGAAATTGACGGCTACAATATCAAACGTCAAACCAGCTTGACCTTTGACCTTCTACCTCAACCCACCAACATGCCCAACTACCCCTCCGCTTTCAAGATCTACGATGAAGCTGCGCACACCATCCTAGGCGATAGTCCGAAACTCGAACTCCTCCTGGAGAACAACAACTACACATTTGCCCATGAAGCCGGTGTCTTCATCCCAAAATCGAACACTCTATTCATAACGAGCAACCAATATCCGCACCCTGAGACTAACGGAACACACATCCAAATTAGCCGCATCACTCTCCCGTCATCAACTCATAGCACCGAAACAACATGTACCGAGATCACAACAGATAACATTCCATTGGCGAATGGGGGCGTCAACTACAAAGACGGCATCCTCTTCTGTGCACAAGGAACACTTACCACCCCCGGCGGCCTAGCATACATGCCGCTCCCCTCAGGTCATACCTCTTCCACCTCTTACTCGTCTGAGCTACTCACCACATCTTTCCACAACCGGCCCTTCAACTCGCCCAACGATGTTGTCATTCATTCAGACGGAAGCATATGGTTTACCGATCCTGTATACGGGTCTGAACAGGGTATCCGTCCAGCACCACAGCTACCGAATCAAGTATATCGTTTCGACCCAAAGACGGGGGGTATCAGGGCGGTAGCAGATGGATTTGGACGACCGAATGGGATCTGCTTTAGTCCCGATGAGCAGACGTGCTATGTGACCGACACAGATTGGATTCATGGGGATGGCACGACGGATGGGACGAGGGTGTCACACATGTAAGTCTTTGATGGTGAATCGAAGGACATGGAAAGGGACATGCTGACAGATATAGATACGCATTCGATGTAAAGACATACTCTGGCCAACCATTCCTCATCAACAGGCGACTGTTCGCTATGGCTGACACCGGCATCCCAGATGGAATTAAGTGCGATGTGCATGGAAACGTGTACAGTGGATGTGGCGATGGAGTCAACATCTGGTCACCAGGTGGCGTGTTGCTAGCAAAAATTCTGGTCGACAGAGGTGTTGCCAACTTCTGCTTCGGTCGAGATGGGCAATTGTTCCTACTCAATGAGCACAGGCTGTGGCGCGCGCAGATTGCGCCGGAGCACAAGGGCGCTCTGCTGGGGATATGATGATTGAATGTACGTACGTGTACTGTATAGTAGTGCTGACGACAATGATGAAAGGTTCGTTGAAAATACAGGTACCTGGTCCAACTGCCGGTCTTGTTCTTCATCGAAGTACCACTACCATGATTTGCCCACTATGCAGTAACTCTTTCGCAAAACCAAACAGGGAGAACACGTCGGCTTTTCAACTCAGGAGCATTTTCTTCCCATGTTCTCAGAGAAACCTGCCGAATACGTACTCGTTGCGACTCCTCCTAAAGCCATCAAGATGATACTCAATCACACGCTTGTACGAGCATAAGTCCCCACCCTTATCCTCGTACGGACCAAGCTTGAGAGGAACACCATCATTTACGTGCTCTGGTTGTCTCATGTATCACCATCATATGATCATGACTATACTCAGATCATACCATCATTAAATCCTTCAGATCATACCTGCAGCCTTAACAATCCGCTCCTTGCAGTGTCCCTTACCAAATGAAGCGCCGCCCTGCCATGGCATGCTTCTCCATGGCCCCCTTATAGTCATGTACATCCCGGCGCTCACGCAAAGCGGTGATATGCGCTTCAATATTATGTCTGTACATCTTGACACGAGCACGCTCTCTTGACCAATCTTTTGGAAGTTTCATCTCCTGTCGAACGGCTCGAAGTAAGCGCTCATCATAAGTATTGCAGGCCAGCACTGTTGTGAACGTGACATGCATTAGTAAGCGTGCCGTAAGGTTCCTTTAGATAAGCTGCGCTGGGGTACTAGGGTCAACAGACACACACTTTCAGAGTACACAATAAAATCTTATACACCTCTGAACATTTCGCACTCAACAGTGCGACAATAGGCTGAACCATAAGCGTGTGCTCTCTATCGATACCGCGTTCACGAATCCATGCAGATCGGCTGAACGAAAGATTTGGTGTCCTTCCCCTTTAGAGATATAGGATATCTTCTTCGGCATATTCCTCCGATTTGGGCACGAATCCTCATCTCTTGAACAAATGGCTGTAGAGGCCGAAGGGGTCGTTGAGGGACATTCAGTGACGATGGCCTGGTCTTGTCCAACGGTCAAATCCGGAATTCGAACACTGTTGAGATATGGTCCGATCTTAGACATTTGTTACCAGCTCCGGTGTCGATAATATGTCCTGTCGGTGGACGAAATCACAATCGAATTGCGCAGGATTCGTGATAACGTCTCCGTGTTGACTCGACGTTCTAACTCGGCAGATAATCGACCGGCGCGCCCATGGCTCGGCTCGTGTACACGTTTGATGCTGAAAGTAGAGCGAGGACTATCAGGACTGATAGAGAGCAACACGTCAGTCCTCACAACAATGTAATTCATCTGCCGCAGTGAGAGCATTTTGGTGGCGCCGTTGCTGTTCTAGCGGATCTCGACATGCTGTATCCGCTCGCTGACGAACTCAAGCTCAGCTTCAGCCCTGAGTGCTTTTGACACTGCTCGACAAACGACCCCTAGAGAGAAGTCATCCACGTGAGTGAGAATAAGATACCAGATTTCTGTCGGTAGTTGCAGTTGAGCCGGGTCTGCCGACCGTACTTGGGCCACTGAGCAATCAATTCTGATGATTACCTTTCTTAGATGATGCAGAAGATGCCAGGGTGATAAACCACCCCGGGACCGCTACGAAATACTCAAATAGCGTGCCCATGGTCGACAGATCAGTAGGGGAAGAACTTCGTCTCTTAAGTGGGAGGAATCAAAGTCGTTGTGGTAGACAGCGAAGAGAAAGAAATTGGAACAGGCACATTGTGAAGGCGTTATGGGGCGTGAAGCGAAGTAGCTACGTTTGCTTTGACGGTGAAATAGACTGGTGAAGTGATTGAGCACTGCAGATCGGTGAAAGGTAAGCACACGGCCCAAGTGCAGTGAAGACCCTAGTGAAAGGGTAAATTGTACACGAAGGCGCGGAGGAACTTATTCTATCCAGATGAAAGTCGCCAGTGTTGGAGGGAGGAACGGAAGTGGAGCACGGAAAAGTGGGCAATGATGTACGTTTGTCGTGAAAGTGGAAGTTACTACTTTCAATTTGAACCCACCAAGAGGCTGGAGATAATTGCAACTTCTAAGACCTCTCAGTAAACAACTAAACTCAATTTGACAACTTCGATCTGAGGCTTAGAGGTAAGCGATGCCATGCTTCTTCATGAATATGCCGAACAGATACTGGTTCCTCTTCTCCCAAATTCCCCTAACATAAGCCCTGAGCTCATTCGAAGCTATAGCATCGAAGTCCTCGTCTTTCCAGTCGATGTTCGGTTTTAATACGATGCCCTCTGCCTCATGAGAACGCTTCAGGCGTTCGACATAGGCGTCTTCAAAGGCACCAAGAGCTGATACCGAGCTGTAAGATTCTACCCATGAATCGCGATACGACCAACTTGTCCTTTTCTTGCCTTTAAATTGTAGCGCAAGATCATCTTCTGCCGCGTTGATGTCTAGATGTCAGTTTGGTTGGCTTGTGTTGGCAAAGTACCGTGCCCGAAGATCCTTTTCAGCAGCATCAGTCACATTCTCGCAGGTGCCTTGCAGGTGTCGCGCATGACCGTACACTTCGAGTATATCGTTAATGAGCGTCTTCTACTCAAGCGACATCGTCTCGCCTTCAATGTCGACCTCCATACCAGAAATTGGCACTTTGCCCCAGTAACATCCAAGCTTGGCCATGTGTTTGATTGTGCTCGGCCCTTATATCGGAGGTGATAGCGGAGGTCTGAGTTGGAGACGGGTTTGCGTCGCATATGTTCGATAATACGCAAGTCGGTGCTATTGAGAGAATCTCTGTCGGAGATCTTGCATGCATGTTCCTGAACTCGGCGCGGAGAGTCGCTTTGACACCATCTGGACTGACGCTCAGAAGATCTTTGATATGAGTAGCACATGTATAAAGTCGGGTCCCTTGCTGCATCACGAATGTCTCGCTTGCTTCCGCGCTGATAGAAGGATGACCGAGACGACTTCTTACAAATCCTCGCTCAGCTTCTACTCTCAGTGTACGGGAGCCCTGGTGGCAGCCGATTCAGAGGTCAACGTCTTCCACGTTGGCCCGAATTTCGCCCCAGAGTTCGAAGGGAAGCGGCGAGCAGTTTGGCGTGCGTATATCGACCATAATAGGGTGTTCAGTGTTTGGTTCGTTAGACGGAGCCTGGAGGGAGTCGAAGTAGTGAGTGCACCGTTGCACACGAGACCAGCCGCGGTCGAGCGCGATGTGCTAGCCGAGCGGGACTGAAACGACCTGTGCGGGCGCGAAGTTAGATGGGGAGATAAGAAGGCGTGGTTTTGGTCGAGATTGACTGAAGAAGAGTCGCAATTAAGGTGAAGGTGAAGAGGAGTTCTGGACGCTGTTGATCATGCAAGGCTCCAGCGAGAACCGCAGGCGCAGTCACGTTCACTTGTCCAACATCCCACCAAAGACCCCACCCTGAAGATACTGAAATGCATTTGAAGGCTAGAGCAGTCTTCTCAATCAAACAGCCACCCCAGCCCTCTCACTATTCCCATTATACTCCGTCTCCTCCGCAAACCCACTCCAACCATTCCCACCCTGCAACTCCATCTTCACACTCCCCTCCCTCTTAATCTCCCTCTCCTGCTCCCTCACCAACCTCATCGGCCCCCTCACAATCGCCCCAAGCAAATCCCTGATATCCAGGGCCTGAACAAGGGCCTTAACAGGCCCCACAGGCGCCGCCTTGTTACTATTCTTGTAGAGTTTCGACGGGAACGCGAAGATCATGAGGAGCGCGAAGAGCGGCATTTCACAAGCCAGGATGAGCGAGGCGAGCCCGTCGTTGATGTCGTGGTAGGTCATGTATTTGTTGGGGGAGAGGGTGCCGTGGCCCGCGAGAATGTTGATTAGGAACTACGCCTGCTGTCAGCATGTTTTGATGCAAGATTTGGTGGGTGAAATGGGGGGGGGGGGGGGCATACGGTCTGCGCGACGTTCAAACCGATGATACTCTTGAATGTGAAGAGTTTCAGGAGGATCTTGTGCTGTAGTAGCTTTGGCTTGTTGCGACTGTAGAAGCGCAAACAGCAGAGAATAGATATTGTGGTGACGATGAATTTGAAGATTGTGATCCAGAGATGTGCGAAATGGATGCTGTTGGACTGTCTGCAGTACTGGCCTACGGCGAGAGCGACTATGGTGCCGATCCAGATGATGATGCTGGCGGGAATGAACTGAAGAACGCCGTACCAGATGCGCTGCATTGTGTTAGCGACTGATTTGTTTCTAGGATGAGGAAAACTTGTGTACCTTCAACCACGCAGGACCCTTCGTCTGAAGCGCTCCCCTACTCCTCGCACCCGCACTAAACAGATCATCAAACCCATCCGGATGCGACAGAATATAATCGCACATCAACAGCAAGAACGCCGACAACGCGATCGCACAACCGAAGTCGAGACTCTCAACTAGATAAACTCCAGCCTTTTCCTCCAGCACTACGAGGAAACAGAAGAGCGCAACCCACGGGATGAGCAGAACGATGCGAATAATCTGGCGTTGTTGCACGGGAAACGAGTAATTGGTAGCATGGCCAGCGATGATGAAGCCACAGATAATCATGCTGAAGAGGGCGCAGGCGCCAGAGACTATCGTTGCGACTTCGTGGAAGGTGTATTTGCCGATGATGGGTACGATTGCTGGGCTATCGAGGTTCTCGGCGGGACAGACATGGCTCGTTGCGGAATCGATGATAGAGCTGGTGTTGATGTGATTCTTTCTCGACACGAGATGTATCTCGAAAGCCTCCATGGCGGAAGCGATTGGCGTCAAGCGGTTCTTTATTGATGATAGGCTGAAGATAAGGCGGAGATGTGAGGAAACCGTTGAATCGATGGCCTCAAGAGACCCTGCGTTCCTAAGTACTTTCCACTGGAGGCGTCCCCGCCCGTATACGCCATGTCATAGCCACTGAACATCTGTAGGCGGTTCGTCCCGATCGCCATTCGTCCGCGCAGGTAGCCGCTTTTGGGGTGGAACAGCGAAGTAAGCGTTTACGAGTGGAGCTTGGCGAAGCTTGTGAACTTATGAATCCCGCACAGCCATGCATAGCCCAGGGCGAAAGCTGACAGTTTGTAGATCTTTCTGCTTCATTGAGTACTGTTGAGCGAAAGAGCTCACCTCTCGTCGAGTGCGATACCATCTACGGCGCGCAGGTAAGCTCGGCGAGGCCGGCAAGAACGGTGAGCAATCCTTCGACTTATCCACTCGGGGCGTGCCCGCGGGCAGCGAGCGAAAGAACATCAGTGGCTGTGCACATGCAAGTAACTTCAAATTGTGAACGATGTGTAAATGAGGGTCTACAGCAGACAGCTGTGCGAACAAGCAAACGTCAGCTGTTGGCCGTGCCATCAAAGTTCGTACGAGATTCACAAGGAACCAAAACGCTGCTAAAGCGCATTCAACCCAAATCTTTGATCGAGATGATCCCCTGGCTGTGCTTCGATGGAACTGCTGATCAAAAGTGCATCAGGAAACCAGCGAATTCAACTAATAGTCTGTACGAAGTTGAATGTATGAGCTACTACAGACTGCGGCGCTCGACGCAGATGCATTCGAAGCGTGGAAGTAGAAGGCGCTGGCGCAAGCTTCAAGATACAGGAGGTGTCGTTATCATCATCTAGACGCTCTAAGGAGCCTCGCAAGCTGTAGTAGAGCGTGCGCAGACATGTTCGTGTTAATGTAGAAGGTTGACAGCGACTTCGTAGAGAAACTTCAGCGTTCCGCGCGCTCGGCTCGCTCCTTCCTTGCCTTAGTCTCCTCGAGCGCAACAGCGTGCAATACAACACAGCAGAGATAGCGATTCCGGAGGAGGATTGCTCCATCACCCCAATTCGTTGACAATATTAGCCGTCTCCCAGACAATGCACAAGCCAACTGTTCGATTTGGACATGCCGGCCAATGCACAGCTTCCGCAAGAGCCGGCCTCATAGCGCGACAATCTCGTGTCGCAGCACACCCCTCCCACTGCGCCTGGCTCGACAAGGGAACGCGTTGCGCGTTCGACGCGTTTTAACGTCTGCGCACGTTTGCGCGATTGTTCATTGGGAAGGATGACATCGCTCGGCGTGTTTCGGAGTGCGCTCTGTCGCATCGTATGGAAATGACGAATGTTGATGGGGCCGGCCAAGAAGATCTTGCGATGACCCGCAGCCGTTTCGTGGCTGCAGAGATCGGTCAAGTGCTGCGTTGCGCGAATGTTCGTATTGTCAGTGACGAGAATGAGACTTGTAAAGATAGATGATGATAGTAATAATATGTTCATTGGTGGTGCCTGTAACTTTTAATGGCAATGAGGTCTGCGACGCGATCGAATATCGACGATCCAGCTGTCGCAGCACGAGCAAGCATGATAATATATAGTACATGACTATAGTCCGTCCCAGTGAGCCCATCCAATCCATTGCCGAACGCCGAATTGCCGAGTAGAAAAAACCAGTAGATCGTGAAGCGTGAATAAAAACATGCGAAGAGAAACCGAGACGCGTCCGTACATGCTTTGAAGAAAAGGCCGAAAGGGGAAGAGAAGGTGGAATCGTGCATCAATCACATCTCCATCGCGTCACCGGCGACAGCGATGGGCCTGCTGATGGTCTGAGGGGGAGGTGTTGCAGGTTCTGTTGGGGAAGAGTCGCGGGCGTTGATGCGCTCGCCCTCGCAATGAGGAACAGGTCCAGACATGAGGTTGGGAACGGCGCGCTCTAGGGACCAGCCAACGAGCTGGCACCACTTGAGCGTATCTGAGAACAGCCAGTAGCCTTGCACACCGTGCTGCTTAGCGCGCACAAGATAAGCGTTGAGTGATTCTTTCTCGAGCATGACAATCACGTCAGTGAAGTCGAAGTGGCGCTCGATGAAGCGGGCATACGCGCGTGCTTGGTCGCGCAGGTTGGGGTTGGTCATGATGTTCTTCCAACCTACACCAAGCGAGGTGATGAGCGTGTTGATGGTGTTGCCATTATCGTCGATGATTGCCTCGCTTATCTGTGTGTCCATGTCGTTGAGCGAGGGGACAGTGACGTCGCGAGATGGACTGATGCGTTGCGACTTGCGTGAGACTGCGATTGGACGAGCCGCAGCCTTCTCTTCGGTTTCGATCTTCTCTTCATACCACGTGCCGGATTGCGACTCGGCCGCGATGCTGTAGCTAGGGTCATCAGGGTAGATGAGAGTCATCCCTGGACCGTACATAGGCTTGCCCCGGGACTTGACAGGGGCGGGGATGGCGACAGATCCAGTTGGTTGGTTCTCCTCGGGGTCGTCGACGTCGGCAATGGATCGTTTGCGCCCAGCTGTGGCATTGGATACAGCAGCTAGATAGTTGAGCGAGGGTGGAGTAGGATGCTTTGGGCGGAATTTACCCATAGTTGACGGCGAGTGGGCGCGCTGGTGAGGTGAGAAGTAACCCTGCGGTTGCTGGGGTTGCAGGACGACGGTGGGCGACGAGGCATAGTAGTTGAGACCCATGATGACTGCTTGCTTAGTATATCAGAAGTGAGATGCAGTTTAAAGATACAAAAGTCTGTCTAGCAGTGGACCAGACAATGGAGCATGCGACAAGCGCGGCTAAAAACCAATAGCGACAGCGAGGTTGATGCTCGGCTAAGAGGCGTGATGGTCGTGGTGATGGATGAGGTTGATAAAGGTGATGAATGGGTTGGCAGAGGTGAGAAAACACCAAAGTAAGAGGATTTGGCGCAGAGGGAAGGCGCGACGACGTGTGAGGGCAAGAGGTGAGAGGTGGAGGAACGATGGTTTGAAGGGCGCCAGGCGCCTCTTGTAAGCTTCGCGCGCATCCCGTGAGAGGCTGGAGTCTCCGGCAGGGTAAGACTAACCGCAAAGAGATCCCAGCAAAGATCCACAGGGCAAGTCTGGACGTCATTGGCTGATGGCGCGTCTCCAGCCGAGCTTGAGCAAGGATACCGCAAATGGACTGGACCCAAATCCGTTCGCTTTGCCCAAACTAGTCAGTCGTGTAAAAGATGGCCTTGGCGACTCTGATGCAGCTAAATGCACGTGACTATAGTCATGTGATCTCGGAGAAAGTTTTCGAAGCTCCGACTGCTGCGGGACATTGTTTTTTGGGTGAAGCTTCCACGCGCCATAGCGACAGATACCCCACGCGTGCCTAGTTTCACGTCCCCTCCTTCTCTGTACAAATACCCTAGATACGTTGACTCAAGATGCAGGCGCCTGTGGTTGTTATGAGTATGTATGTCCCTATGTGGTAGCTGCAACAAATGCCTAACACGCCACAGACACGCAGACCCCTGGTGGGGAGCGCCAGTTCGGTCGCAAAGCTCAAATTTCGAACATCACAGCAGCCAAGACAGTTGCAGACATCATCCGGTCATGTCTGGGCCCCAAGGCTATGTTGAAGATGCTGCTCGACCCCATGGGCGGCATCGTCCTCACCAACGACGGCCACGCTATTCTCCGAGAAATCGAAGTCGCACACCCTGCAGCAAAGAGCATGATCGAGCTTAGCCGCACACAAGACGAGGAAGTCGGTGACGGCACAACAACCGTCATCATTCTGGGTAGGCTTTTAATGGCATAAATGAGGTGGACATGACTGACAGGTGACAGCTGGTGAGATCCTTGCACAGGCCCTGCCCCAGCTCGAGCGCAACATCCACCCTGTTGTCGTCATTCAGGCCTTCAAGAAGGCTCTGGCTGATGCCCTCGAGATTGTCAACGAGATTGCGACCGAAGTCGACGTAAACGACGATGAGGAGATGTACAGGATCATCAACTCCTCGATTGGCACAAAGTTTGTTTCGAGGTGGTCGAAGCTGATGTGCGGTCTTGCACTTAAGGCTGTCCGCACAGTCTCCACCGATATGGGAGGCAAGAAGGAGGTCGACATCAAGCGTTACGCACGTATCGAGAAGATACCTGGAGGCGAGATCGAGGACAGTGAGGTTCTGGACGGTGTTATGGTCAACAAGGACATCACACATCCCAAGATGAGACGGAGAATTGAGAACCCCAAGGTTCTGCTGTTGGATTGCACACTTGAGTACAAGAAGGGCGAGAGTCAGACGAACATCGAGGTCAGCAAAGAGGAGGACTGGAACAGGATATTGCAGATCGAGGAGGAGCAGGTCAAGGCCATGTGCGATGCCATCATTGCTCTGAAGCCCGATCTTGTCATCACAGAGAAGGGTGTCAGCGGTAAGCAGGACAAGTCAAACTGTGCAGAAGGGTCACTAACGCTAGCCAGATCTTGCGCAGCATTTCCTGGTCAAGGCCAACATCACAGCTATCCGCCGTGTTCGCAAGACAGACAACAACCGTATCGCACGAGCCACCGGTGCCACTATCGTAAACTCCGTCTTCGCCGCAACACCCTCCGACATTGGTACCCAGTGCGGTCTGTTCGAGATCTCCAAGCTCGGTGACGAGTACTTCACCTACCTCACAAAATGCAAGGACCCCAAGGCCTGCACGATCCTGCTCCGTGGACCCTCGAAGGACATCCTGAACGAGATCGAACGTAACCTGCACGATGCCATGGGCGTTGCCAGGAACGTTATCTGGAACCCCAAGCTGTGCCCAGGAGGTGGTGCGACCGAGATGGCCATCGCCGTTGGGTTAGAGAGGAGAGCAAAGCTCATCGAGGGTGTTGCACAATGGCCATACAAGGCGGTCGCAGAGTCCATGGAGGTCATCCCCCGCACCATCATCCAGAACTCAGGAAACAGCCCCATCAAGGTTCTGACACAGCTACGCGCAAAGCACGCAGAAGGTTACGAGGATGGCAAGGCCACTGGCAGCTCCTGGGGTATCGATGGCGACGCAGGAAAGGTTGTGGATATGCGCACATACGGCGTGTGGGAGCCTCTCGCGGTTAAGGAGCAGAGCATCAAGACCGCCATCGAGAGCGCGTGCTTGCTGCTGAGAGTCGACGATATCGTCGCTGCGAAGGCGGCGAAGCAAGTCAGCGGCCCGATCGGCGGTGGAGGTGACGACTAGAAAGCTCGTTGAAGGTGCAATCTCGACATGAGCGACCCGCAACTGGGAGCAAATAATCACGACAATGAAGAACGATCAAACGTCAGCACGTCAAGTGTTGTCACACCAAAGTATTAAATCGATTGCTCTTGACTTCCAAGTCGCTAACCCCGCGGCTGCCCGCTCGCACTAACAGCCTCACAACAAGATCAGCACTCACGGCCCGATACAAACAGGATAACAGGCAACCGTCCAGAAAAGCAGTCAGACAAGACTCTGACTAGCGCTTCACGCAATCACACGACACACCCTCATGATCAGGAATTGACTTCCACGATACTACTCAATCTCTAGTATCATGTCGACCCAACAAACGACCGCCGACGTCAAATATCAACAACACAGAAGAAGACCGCAGCCATGAGCTAGAGGCCATAAGGCGAATCTGAGCAAGTCGAGTAAGCTGACCCTAAAGGCACCCAGTAGTCCAGCGGATGAAGCATATCGAGTACGATCAATTAGTAAAGATTAACGACGGAACAGACACCACGGAGGTGTCGAAAGAGAAGTCGGTATAGGCTTAGAAGGAACTCAGCGAGGACGGTGCCTTTACAGGAAGCAAGGGAAAGGAGAGTAGGTTCTAGACTCTACTTGCCCGCCCGTGATATCTGTTTGCAGAGTTATCGATATCTCATCTTCAAAAGACCAACATGTGTACACTATCAATCTGCCAGTCTTCATCTCAGCGTCGCCACGTCGGTTGTGTTCAGTGTTCGCCCCACAATTTCCTGCCGTGACAACCACTGCCAACCATCGAGACTACTCCATTCGACTAGTAAACGCTCCCATTGGATGACCTACTCGAACCTAAAGTGATACACAGGCTCTCACACCTTGAATAGGTACGATGTCATCACACGGCAGGTACGCCATAGGTGGGGCGGTGCCCAAGTATATAAGTACAGTATCTGCTTGAAGCACGAATAATTCATCTCGACAGCTAACTGGCGGCACAGACACACCGCCGCATATTTTAATTCATCAGTCATATAGAGCTATAGTACCTGGATCATCATAGCCAACCGGAACATCAATAACACAACGGAAGACATCAGCAACAAGGCGTCTCTGGTCATAAGGCAAATTTGAGCAACCCTAGTAAGAACCGAATCGATGTGTCCCCATCGTTGAGAACAGTACTGACGAAGCGAAGACACGAGCGAGGAGAGCAAAGAGAAGTCAAAACAAGCACTGAAGGATCTCGGAGGCGAAGAAGCGTTCTACGGTAACCAGGATAAGGGCGAGGAAGATGTACAAACATCTCTGAGCAACAATCGAAGCTTTATTCGAAAGGCAACTTCACATTTCGCTTGATCAGGCTCCGCTATGCAACACTCCCCCTCCCAAGCACCCTCTCAACCACCTTCGCAACACCCTCCACATCCTCAAACAGACTCCAATGTCCCACACCCTCCAGCACCTCCAACTCACCCTTATCCCCTAACCTCCTCACAATGTCTCCACAAGCAGCCACCGGCGCAACCCCATCCTCACGTCCCGTAACAACTGTCACCTTCGCTCCTATCCTCTCCCAGTCGGGCGTCTCAGCACTCGCCAGTGCCGTACAAGCTTTCGCATACCCCTCCGCATCCTGACTTTGCAGACTCAACCTCACCGCATTCACCGCCACAGCGTTCCTCGCCTGGCTCTGTGGACTCGTTGCAGAGAATGCTATTTTCTCCGCGATATTCAACGTGCCTTCTCGCCGGACGAGGTCAGCGCGGGCATGTAGTGCTGAGACGCCTTCTTCTGGGAACGGCAGACTTGGAGGGTTGAGGAGGATGAGTTGTCCGACTTTGCCTGGGTTCTTGATTGCAAAGTCGAGCGCGATTAGGCAGCCCATACTATGCGCTACCACCGTCGCGCCGTCACTGTCATTGATACCAGCGTAGGCGAATACACCGACCAAGTCCTCAGAGAAAGAGGGTATGGAGAGAACGCTGAGGGGATGTGTGGGCGATGCGCCATGCCCTTCGAGGTCGAAGATATTTACGCTGTGTGTGTATTCTAGACCAAGCGTGTGGATCAGTGGCGTGAAGGAGGTGTGAGAGCCACCGAGACCGTGAACGAAGATGATGGGGGACCCGGATGAGGGGCCGGATTGGGTGTAGTAGAGGGGTTTGGAGTTGATTTGGGCGAGCTGGGAGATGGGTAGGCGAGAGTTGTTGTAGTCTAAACTCGACACTGTGGGCTTGGTTGCTAGGGGATTCGGTGAAGATGCGTCGGCAATGTGGTTTGTCAAAGTCCCGAGTCCAGTTACTGAGATCGAGATGCTGTCGCCAGCTTTGAGGTAGACGGGTGGCTTGAGACCGAGGCCAACGCCGGCGGGGGTACCTGTAGCGAGGACGTCGCCGGGTTGAAGGGTCTGGCCTTCTGACATCGTTTTGATCAGGTATGGGATGGAGAAGATCAGATCTTCGATGGTGGCATCTTGTCTGAGCTCACCGTTCACACGCGTTTGTACACGGAGGACGCTGTCGAGTTGGGATGCCGGGACAGCAATCGGGCCCTACACTGGTCAGTTCTGAACAAGATCTAACAGAAGAAGGAAGGACACACCATAGGACAAAACGTATCCGGGCTCTTCCCTATGTAAAACTGTTTATGATCTCTCTGTCTCTCTCGCGCAGTCATGTCGTTAATAATCGTATACCCCCAGACGTAGTCCATCGCACCCTCCTCTTTGATTCTATACCCCGCCCTCCCAATGATCACACCAATCTCGCCCTCATAGTCCGTAGTTTCAGTAAATCCGGGATGCGGAAAGATCTCCTCGCCATCAGCAATGATAGACGTATACCGTTTAGTAAATATGACTGGGTGCGACGGCACATCAACCTTGTCTGAGCTGTCGAAGCCGGAGCTGTTGAATTCTTTGGCGTGGTCGAAGTAGTTCTTGCCTACGCAGAGGACATCTCGGGATGCTAGGGGAGGCAGAATGCGGACTTCTGATGATGCTATGGGTGAACCGGAGCTCGTGATGTTGGAGGAGCCGGCTTCGATGACTTGGTAGAGGTTGGTGATTGGTGTACCGGACTTGAAGCTTAGAGATTGAATGGTTCTTGATTCCAGGTTGTAGTGACCGATTCGGTCTCTTTGAGTTTGGGGGTCATGATAAGCGACGTAGTTCGTGAATGCAGACTGCCCCTCCTTTGATGACATGTTTGCTGTTGAGATTTTCGCTCAGCAACGAGGCTGTTACATGGGCAGAACCGTCGTTAGTATAGGATTCATTCACATCGATCAAGCGACTGAACTTTGAAACTGCTTTGATCTTGAGGTTGATGTTGCGATACCTAGGTACAAGTGGAGATGGTGGGGAAGGTCGAAGCGGACATTACGTCAGCTTTCGCTGTTGCTGTTGGCTGCTAAGTCGGGCACCCTAGTTTCCGACACCCGTAGTTTCCGACTACCCCGCAACCCTCCACCATGCACCACGACCAAATATCAACTCTAAACAACTCAATTTTTTGTCAATTCAAAAATATTTTTACACCAATTTCTCTGTCTTCAAATAGCTAGATACACGGAAGAAGATGTCCAGAATGTGCGCACAGACCTCAGATCTGTGGTTGCTTTGGCTACTGCTGCCTGTTGAAGTCGTGCCTTAAGCAAAGCTCATAGACATTATTCAATTGGTTCTTGGGGATGAGCAGAGGTACAGGGAGCCTGTAGGGGTTGACAGTCACCTAAGCAAAGTTCGGAGTGGTCAGGGGTAGACTATCCGGGCAAAGTGGTAATAGCCAAGGTAATAGTCAAGGTAATAGTTGTCTAGCCAGAGGCCGTGGCGACTGGTAGCAATGAGTAGTATAGAGTATACTGTCTGGCTTGAGAGCGTGTGAGATTCCAATAACAAAGTTGAGTGGTGAGGTTGAACACAATGCCGTAAGGGCAACGTGTCAATGTGCTATATACCAAGCACGTCTGCGTAGTGATCCGTATGCTCTCAGTGATCCAGCGGAGCAGTGAGAGCAGCGGGATTGGCGAGAGTGCGTTATGTGGGGTTGCTCTGTATGCTCTGTCAGATCGTGAGATCAGTGAGAGCATATATGCAGCCTGGCGGCTGGTCCATTTTGCTTCTCAATTAACCAAGGTTTGCCGTTGCTCTGTTGTTACCTGTGTTAGCACAAGAGCAATCCTTGTCCTAGTGTACCACTGGTCTTACCACTCTGCACTTGGCGTTGCCCTGGACCCCCTTGTTATCTTCAAGGCCAAGAGCATCCAAGAGCAGTGGTTCAAGCAGGAGTTCTTGGCTCAGAATCCTGGCTGGTATGTTACCTATTTGCAAAATGGGTGGACAAGTAACAACATTGCTGTCGAGTGGCTAGGGAAGGTGTTCTTACCACAGACTGAGCCTGATGATCCCTCTAATGCACGGCTACTTATTGTCAGGGGCCATGGCAGTCATACCTCAGACGAGTTTATGACTACATTTTACTTGAACAATGTCCATTTGCTCTTTGTACCTGCTCATACTTCATATGTACTCCAGCCTTTGGATTTGGGCTGCTTCTTAAGTCTAAAGGTGGTGTATTGACGCTTGGTTGGTGAATATATGGCTGGGACAGATAAAACAAAGCTTGGGAAGGCCAAGTTTCTTGAATTTTATGCAGAAGCACGTAAAATTGGCTTTTGAGAGCAGTGCATCCGATCTGGGTGGAAGGCAACAGGCTTATACCCCAAGAACATGATGAAGCCCTTGGGTTCTCACTGGGTGGTGGTGCACAAACAGCCGTCAACACCACCACCTTCTACCATGGATATTAGCACTCCAAAACGCGGCAGCAATGTTGTAAAGCTTTTTTCTGGAAAGAGCTTCTCACCAACTACATGACGATGTGTTCGGCTTACTGCTACAGCGTTTGATCGTGCCTCAATGATGGTCACCATGCAAGACCGTGAGGTTGCTTCCTTGCGCGAGCAGGTGGAGCAAGCCAACCTGCCAAAACGTCGCAAAGTTGCAACCAATCTAAACGATCTCCTTGCAAGTCTTGCAAAAGTTCCCTCTAAAACTAATTGAGAACCTTCTCAACAAGAGGTTGTTATTGTAGAGGAGAAGAGTAGCTCTGAGGAGGAAGTGGAGCAACCATTGGTTTGATGTTCAGTGCGGAATCGACAACCAACACGACGTTATCTTGATTGTGATTTAAGTGTATATGAAGGAAGCGCTTCAAATGCAGTTTCTTAATGTTTTTACAAAATTATTTGACAAAGTTGTGAGCACATTTGCAACTTCAAGTGGTGGCAGCGGTAAAATTTGGTGGGGTGTTGGAAACTAGGGTGCCCGACTTACTGTACGATTCTTCCTGTCCAGCAACATCTGCGCTTCACATCTCACACTCTTCACGATCATACCTTGTTCACGCGAACCTCCTGAACCCAGAATTACACCCAGTGATTTTCGGCTGACTACCACCTGCCCCAGTCAACTGAGATGATACTGACTCGAACTTGTTGCGCTGCAGGACTTGTAGCCAGGATGTATCTCAAATACAAAGACTCCCTCGAGGCTAGGCTGAGCTCAGGCATCGCGACAGCTTGAGCTTAGTATTACGAAGTAGTAACGGGGACGACCCTGGGTGCATCGGTCTACTGTCCTCCCTGGAGCCATTCGCCCTTGTCTGGTATCGTATGTTCGCGAGCTTCGCCACCACATAACCAGAATGAAGGCCCGAAGTCGTTGGGAGAGAGACCGAAGTGCAGTTGTTGACGAGGTAATCAGTCTGCGGAGATTGTTGTGGTCTTGGAGCTGGAACGTGTCCCGCGGGTGTTCCTGAGCAGCTGCACAGACCGCCAGGAGTTTCGCCCGCTCCACCCAACCGCCCGTCCATATTCATCGACCATAAACAACCAAAGTGTCTTCAGATGAGCCACTCGTTCGATTCTAAGACGTCTAGAGTCTCGCCAAGATGACGAAATCGGGCTGTCTGTCATAGTCATTGAAGCCATCTCCGCGCGTACATGGCCCAAATGACGCATGCAAAGCCAAGTGCCATGCCGCCGCTCACCTCCGCGAGGCTTGACCATCGTCAACTGCTTTCATCAGGACTTCAGTTGTAACTGACCAATCAGACAATGGGTTTTTATCTAGCTGTGCTCCAATAGCTCTGCGATCACCACTTTCCTGATCGCTGGCTCGGCTGCGTTCCGCTTCCTGAACCGCAAACGGCAAGATGCAAGGTGGGGTACAAAGCAATCGTCCTGGGGAACTCCATCCGGTACGCGTGTTCTCGTTACCAGAGCCACGATGGAAATGATCTTGTTGATCTTGGATGAGGGGTAGTTGATCTTGCTTTTCGGTGATGGTATCATCCGTAGTGTACCAAGGTTACCGGTTAACAACGCCAATGTTGTAGGTCAACACTCCGCGTCTGGGTATAGCGACCGATGAGGCTCAGCCCTGTCATGGATGGTGTTGACATTGTAAAGCGCCTCGTAATCTGCGCCGAGTGTAGGTCCGTTTTCAGGTTATATAGATTGCCCATTCCTCAACAGCTGTCCGTTTGTCAAGAAGGGTTACTTCAGTCCTATCTGCACCTACCCTCAGGCCTCCTGAGACTTTCCAAACAACGCGTGCAAGTTGGTAATTACACCATTACCATGCGTTTTTATCTTGCAACTGGTTTGCTTTCAAGCTTGAGCCTCGGTACGTGTCGATATGTAGAACAAACCCGCCCATAACTAACGATACCCAGATGCTCTTGCGCAAACTCAGATTGGACAGACCTGTGTCACCGATGACGTCTGCTACAAGTTGAGCATCCCCGAAGCAACAGCTCAGAATGGCGACGGCAACATCTTCCTGTCTCTTAGTGCACCGACAATATACAGTTGGATTGGTCTTGGAATCGGGCCGAGCATGACGAACTCAGACATGTTTGTCATGTACACGAACGGCAACGGGAACGTTACGCTTTCACCGCGCTACTCCGAAGGGCGAGCACAACCTCAGTTCGATGGAGACCTCGATGTTGAGCTGCTTAGCGGATCCGGTGTCGAGAACGGCATCATGACAGCGAACTTTCGATGTGGTAACTGCGCACGAAGTAGAACAGCGAACTTCGATGCACAAGATGGACAGTGGATTCACGGACGACGAACTGGAGACGCTATGAATACTACAGATGTCCAAGCCAGAATCATGAAGCATGACGTTCAAGGTGGCTTTACTTGGGCTTACTCCAGTGCAGTCGGAGGAGCGAGCACGAACCCCTTCGCAGCTTCGGATACAGTCATCTCTGGCAGTACTTCTAGCAGCTCTGGTGGTAACAGAGCTATGCGTAGCAACATCTTGTTGGTACACGGTATCTTCGCCTCCCTTGCCTTCTTGGTCTTCTTCCCTGTTGGAGCGATCATCATGCGCCTGGGCCAATTCAACAATGTTCTCGGAGTCCACATTGCTACTCAGGTCTTCTCCTGGCTGCTCTTCATCACTGCTTTCGGGCTTGGCCTCTACTACGGCATCACTGGCAACTACATGACCAAGGCGCACCCCATCATCGGCATTGTCTTAGTCGCAATGATGATCTTCCAGCCTCTTGCAGGCTGGCTGCATCACAGACAATTCATGCGTAGCGGCCAGCGTAGTACCATCTCCCATGGCCACGTTTGGATTGGTCGCATTGCGATCATTCTCGGCATTATCAACGGCGGGCTTGGTTTAGAGCTGGGAGGAGTCGAGACTCGATATGTCATCGCATACAGTGTGGTTGCTGGTGTTATAGATCTTGCCTACATTGCGTCAATTATCTACGGGGAAATTACAAGAAGCCGCCGAACAAGCGTTGCTAGTAGCGGACACGAGAAGATCAACTCGTCTCCAGGGCGGACTCTTGTCACCGCATAAGCTGTTGCGGTATTTATGCGTGAGGATTAGCAGTTGGAAGGAAGTAGACATTTAGTCGTACTCGACGATATATTAAAACAAGTAAAATGCCTCGTTGCTCCACTACGATATACTGTGCATGCCTTGAGATCATTATGCTTCTGCGACTCAAGATCAATCGAGGTAACGATGAACGTAATCTGATTAGTGCACTACCCGAGGTCCGCCTAGAGTACTGATTGGCTACCGAAGTGTTGGCAAGCGCGACTCCGCCACCACCTCGGACCAGCCGGCTCCAGTAGCTCTTTCCTCGCATGTCTGACAAGAGAGGCTGAGCACATTTTCGATATGACTGCCTCAGCCCACTTCGCGCTTGCAATTGCGAACCTCCAACATACAACTTTCGATATCTCTTGATCTTTTGTCGCGTTGCTACCTTTCAAAAAGCAATTGAAGTGAAATCATGATCTTCGGCGGCCTGGAGATAGTAGCCGGCGGTTACTTCGCCCATAAATACTACAAGAACAAGAACGAGAAGAGAAGGTTAGAAGAGGAGGCTCGAACGCGGCGAAACAACACGTTCCCTAGCAACAGGCCGTCCAGTTACCCACTCCAACCACACTTCCAACATCAGGAGCAGCGTCCGGAACAGCATCGCCCGCAACATGTACCTTCACCACAGAAGTACGCTTGCCATGCACCAACACCGCCTCGACCGCAATTTCAGGCTCAGCCTCGGCCTCAACAGTTGAGACCGAAGACAAGTCCCGCGCAGTCCTTCAACATACCGCGTCGACCTGTACCGCAGCGTAAACCTGAGATCGTTGTACAACCAAGTCTGCAGCGCGCTGATTCCATGGCAACTCTTTCACGCATGCCTATTGCGAACGGGTATCGACCTTCAAATCAGGCTGAGCCAACTCCACCTCGACGACCGACGAACAGTCTGTCGCCTATCCAACAGTCACCGTACGGCAACGCAGCCTTCTCGGTATCGTCACCTGCATTTGGCGCAACACCGACGTCACCGCCGATCAGCTATGGCATGGCACCGGACGCTGGAGTAGGAGGACGACATACAGTGAATGATAATTGGGAGACATATGAGCATGGAGCACATGGGTATTCGGCTTATGCGCCGACGGAAGCCTCGACACAGTTGGGTGAGCGGGATCCACCGCCTCCATATGCGCCTTGATCAACAATGGGATCTTGGGACGTCTACTCTAGCTTGGACGCGGGCGCTCGAGCATTTGAAGTTTCTTTCTATTTTCAATTCTGGAGTTCGTTGGATTTGCACTTAGTTTATTATAATGGTCCGTAATCAGTCACGAAGACCGCAGTAATAATATCGCTATCGATCAAAAAGGCTCCACTTTTATATCCGTTTACGATACATTTATCATTGATGATGTTCTGTCTGGGTGCGATATGTAGCAGTAACGCCTGATCAAGTATGTGGAGGCGTCAGTCAACGCAGAGGAGTACATACACGAAGGACACCATTTTCCAGGTTCGACCTCTGATTGCCAAAGTTGACTTCTGTATGCGGCCTTCATCAGACTACAGAGTCGACCCCTAGTTGTCCATATCAGGAGCACTGAGTATGCCCAGGCTGGGTGATTGCAGTGTAAAGGATTTGTGTGAAGATTGTAATGTCTAATCTCGGAGAAAGGGTGATGTCGTCTATTCATGATACTCTTGACTATCTTAGACGATCACGGCGTTACAACCCCACGGCCTACAGCAAGCTTCTGTCGGTAGGTTTCGCAAGCAGAGCATCTTTCCAAAGCTACGCCTGTCCCTGAGCAGGTGGTGCAAGCAACTCGGGGGTCACTGGCCCGAGTTAGGGTGATGTCTTACCACAAAGGGCTTTTTTACGTACGGATTACCTCCACAGCCGGTACATGTCGTAATCTTGAGTGCGTCTGGGTGATCTAGGTAGCAAGGAGGTGGCCTTGCATCGGACACAGCTGAGGCTGTATCATTGTGGTAGACGAATGACATGTTGATGTCTATGAACCACGGTTGTGATGAAGTATGATATTGCAAGTAACGACGTTTATGATAAAGAATATCGTGCAGGTCTTGATGCTGAGAGCAGGATGCTCTGCGACAATTGCAAAGTCGAAACGAGAGTCGCTTTTTTATATACCTTGCAGTGACGAAAGCATTGATCGATCGTTTGAGAATGTAACTCAATGCTGTGTTTGCGTGATATGCTCTGAACAAGTTTCATCTCAATCCAGGAGAATACCAAGAACCAATGCTTCATGATGAATACAGGAGCCTATGCGTACATCATTCGAAGATGCCGGGATGAAACATCCGTTGTTGGCGCCATGCTGATAACTTGAAGGAACAAATCAATCGCACGAACTCATTCCGAAGCGTAGTACTTAGGGTCGCAGCGTTGAATGCATCGTTGGTGACGGGAGAAGTGCAAATCGAGAAGGGAGCGGCAGGGCACAGCATGGCACGGTCTTGTAAGCGTGGACGTGCATGCCGGCCCAACGTGCGTACGTCACACACAACGATAGACGATCAAGCAGTTCGACAGCGGTTCTCTGCAGGGAAGACAGAGTCAGGGACTCATGGCAGCTGTTAGTGGACAGCGAAATCTGAGGGTTTAATGATGAAGGTAAGCCTCTTATGCATTCGTGGCCTCCTGCATGAAGGACGTCCACTTCCGGCGGAAGGCACATACTGTCGTCCCAATCTGAATTGACGTCCGGTCCATCAGCTTCGGAAACACAGGTTGATAGACCTCCAGTCACGGCACTGCCGACTGGGCTACTGGGGAAACCAAGTACCGATAGATGGGTTTGTGTTCAGTGGTGGGCTCAGCCGCCTTCCGTGGACCAGGCACTGGTGAAAGTGGACCTACCGTGGGGCTGTCTAATGAGCTCCCCGGAAGTTTAGATAGGTGACCTTCGTCCCGAACTTCGTTGGGAACTGATTTGATTGCAAGGGTCCGTCTCAGGCATACTGGTTGTCACATCACTGATGCTGTGGCACACTTGCGCATCGTAAGGGCGCTTCTGCAGGTTCGAGTCATGTGCCTGATGAATGGCGCATCCTTGGGTTGGAGCACCCCGCACGCACTAATTATATGTAAATACGCCTAATGGCTGGCTTTCCCCACGAGTGTGGTGCAGTGGCTGGTGTAGCACATTGGGGTTGCAAGTTCCAGGTCAGAGTTGGGAACATTACTTTCTGAAGATCATATTGTTGGTAGATTTAGGTTTGGGTGTGAGCGAGGGATATTGGCAAGGAGGGTGAGCCTGGCTGTGATTCTGTAGTTAGAAACTATTGGCCAAAGGCGCACAATTCTTCAGGACTTGGAGGTAGTCAAGGCGGCTCTCGGTGACATTTGTTAGATGAAAACCTATCTGACGACTACAAAGAATTTCGAGCGCGGTACACAGGCGAGAAGAGCTTTCGCAGTGGTGACCTTATACGCGATATGGAAGTTTCAACGGATGATTGGCGGCGCTCGAAGCACATGTGAAAGATGTGGAAACACGTCGGGATCGTCAAGGTGCTAAGACGACTCGTTCTGCCGTGCCGAGGCACTAGACCACATTGGGCATCTACAAGCATGATAAATACACACCCGCGGGTTCAGTTTGGAGTGAGATAGGGGAAAACTGATTTGTAATGATTCAAGATGTTTCAGTTTTGGCTACATCGATTTTCGTGGTCCAAAGATGCCCGTGTTCGGCCAAAGTCCCGCACCAAGCACCACATAACGTCCTATGCCTTCTCAAATGATTGCCACAAAAACCTGCTATGTCCAAAGTAAGAGTTTCACAAGATCACGAAATCCGCAAAAGTGCATCCCCGCCCAGAACGGCAAAAATTGACCTAACCAGGGGTCGAACCTGGAATCTCTTGATACACTTTAGCCAGGTTCAAGCCCTGGTTTATCGTAGTCAAGCGCCTTGCCATTGGGCCATTAGGCCAGATCTGTATCTGTTTGATGGGAAAAACGATCAATGTAATAATTATATTCAAGAGCAATTGTGTTCCACATCTCCTTGGAAGTAAACTATACTTCTAATACGATTGGAAATGTTGTGGTTGCAGAATTTTCTGCAACCAGGCGAGCCGGGTACAACTCGGCGAAGTGGGGCACTCGCGACAAAGAATTTTCTCTGCATGAGACAACGGCCTGGAATCTGCTGAAGACCTCCTGGCTCTGTCGTGAGAGCCAGCAATTGGTAGCTGTCGTATCTGACCAATTTTGCAGCATAAGAGATGTATGACTGCCTCAAGAATGCAATCGTTCTATTAGAGTCCCGTCATTGATATTTAGCATGGATGCTATCGAAGGATATCACTATTTGAAAGTAAGATAAGTTTTTTGACCGTAATTCGTTACATCCGACTTGTAGCGGATACTATGTTACATTTTGACCCTCCTCAGACGCTTAGGTCTTGGAGCTGGGCTGAGTAAGGGTGTTTCCACCATCAGGGTACAGGATCTGCTCATTGTAGAAGACACCACCTGGACCAGCCAGCATGAGAATCGAAGCAGCCATGTCAGAGTCCTTGCCGGGCCTGCCAGCAGGGTTGGACATGCCACCCTCAATGACACTCTTGTTGTCCTCATCGGACGAGCCAGTGGTCATCTCGGATGGGAAGACACCAGGCGCGATGACGTTGACGCGGACCTTGGTGCCAACGAAGGTTGTTGCGAGCATCTTAGACAGATGTGTTGCGGAGGCCTTAGAGCTGGCGTATGCGAACTGTCCTGAGCTGGAGCCCTTCATCGCGCCGGAGATGGACGTGACGTTGACAACTGAGGAGGTGTAGCCAGGGGTCTTATTTCCGCCCTTGGCGAGAAGAGGCAGGAAGGTCATCGACATGTAGAAGATGCTACCAACGTTAGTCTTGAAGGTGTCAGCCCAAGACTCGGGAGGCGACTTCAAAAAGTGGTCGGAGATGGACTGTGCGTCTTCCCACTCTGGCTCGCCAGCAGAAGAGAACTTGGTGTTGTCGTCACGTGCGATACCAGCATTGTTGACGAGCAGTTGAATACCCTGGGGCTCCTTCTCGCTGATCTCCTTGTACAGACGCTTGACATCCTCTGGGTCGCTGCTCATGGTTAGCAAAAGCTCTTGGTATTGAAAGTCACATCTCATACCTGACGTCTGCTACAATAGGAATGATCTCGCCGTTCTGGTGGTCATGCAGCTCCTCTGTCTTCTTCAGGACCTCTTCACGTCGACTGGTAATGTAGACCTTAGCACCGTTGGCGACCAGCGCCTGCGTGATCATGAGACCGATACCGGTGCCTCCTCCTGTGACGATAGCTGTGACATGGGAGACATCGAACAGCTTTGTGTTCTTGAGCTCATCTGTGTTCGCCTTGCCGGGAGCCATGTTGCTTGCGAAGTTATAGGTCGTTCTGGGTTGGAATTGGGATCGTAATACGCGTGAAGTTCTGGGAAGTGTTCGTGAGAAAAGGCGAAGCATAGCGATCTTTCCACGTTGTGTTGTGTATGTCTTATATGGGGGTGAGCTGAATGTGTTGTTGACGTAGCAAGGGACAATATTATCATGACGTCCTCACGACGCATCGGTAAAGACGGGGCCATGACATCGATTGCGAGAAGACGGGAGATAGACCGATCTCAGCCTTACTGTGAATGCATCCTTGCCCCTGAACTGGTCACAGTTGTCAAGAACTGTTATGTCTGTGGAGCCCTCAGCAAGAGAAGCATTTGCTGTGCCCAAAACTTCCAGCGAATAAATGAACTGCATTGCATGTAACTGAAGATATGCTCAGACGCCCGAATTAAACTGATCTACTAATCAAGCAACCACTCTTGTGTTGGAGATGGAATTCGATCATGCACACGTTGAAGAGAGCTCACGATAGCTTTGGTGTTTCTGCTGGTTCACGATCCTGAGAAGTTCGCCACCGACCGGCAGTGGCAAGCGTGCTGTGCCTTCAATATGTGATTGGCTGTAAACCACCCAATTAGTCTTGGCTGCAGTTTCTGTGGAGGCCTGAGGGTGATGTGGATGGATTACAGATGGGAGTTCGACAAAGTGGATGAATTTGTGATGACGGCGCCAAGATTCTCGGTGCCGAACTTCTTCCGGTCTTGCGCGTGTCTTTCGCGTTTGTCGTTTGTCGTCTTCAATTCTCCAACAATACCCCAACAACCTCTCCGACTGTCACAAGATCATCAGTAGGGCGCAGAAGAGACGCAGAATCCCTAGAAAGCCATCACGCAATCAGTATCTTTGTCAGCTGGTGGTTGCTGGCAAAGCAGACTGTATTACTAACCACACAACGGAAATAACCGATGGCATCATCGTCGCGTTCCCCGCAAATGCAACAACCTCGACGGGTGAATGGCTGGCTTGGTCGAATGACCGAGATAGTCTTCTTAAGCATTTCTAATTCCAACTCTCACATTGTCGTATATAACAGCATCAGATGCTACCATTGATCTTCCTTATCCACACATCAAACTGAACGCTCATAGTCCAGCACATCGTTCATACATGACTATTAGCTGCCTTGCTGCCATCAATAGCATCACATCTACGCTTCCACCTCCCTTCGCACGAAGCGAACTAGACACGACCGCTACAATCCCACCAGAGTCACACTCCGCCGACATGACGACCGCCGTATCGCTCCCGACTCCCGCTCACCAGCTCTCAGGAGCATCAACGCCAACTGTATCGGCCTCAAAGACGGAAGATGTCAATTTCCAGGGGTTACGCATTCCTCGTGGGCCCGTCACAGCGCAGTTGTCATTCTACAAGGCTCCTGAAGATGGATCACCGCCACACAACTACGTCGAGCCACTCCCAGGTGTTCCACAGCGAAACTGGGGCGATGGATGGGAGGAAGTAAGACTAGACGATTTGCGTGGCCAGGAACAGAAGTTTGATCTCGATCACAACGCGTTCGACACATACCAGAACATCAAGAGTGCAGAAACAGAGTTCAAGGACGATGCGCGAATACGCAGCGTATACTATCCTGAGGTCGAGAAGCTTCTGCTGGACAATGTTCCCGGCGCCCACAAAGTGATCCTCTTCGACCACACAATTCGCAGACCAACTGGCAACCGAAATCCTGTCCAGCGTGTTCACGTCGATCAAACACCAATGTCTGCCGCTGAAAGAGTCAGGCTCCATGCGCCTGGGGATGCAGAGCAGTTACTCCAGGGTCGATACCGCATCATCAACGTCTGGCGCCCGCTCAATGGACCAGTAATGGGCTTCTCATTGGCTGTGGCCGACAGCCAAAGCGTGCAGGACGAAGATCTCGTACCAATCGAGCATCGTTACCCTCATCGCAATGGGCAGACAGCAGCAGTTCGATACAACCCAGGTCAGAAGTGGTACTACTGGTCTGGCATGAAGAACGAAGATCGGTTACTACTCAAGTGCTTTGACAGCGACGAGATAGTAGGCCAGTATGGAAGGGTACCACATACTGCCTTTGTGGACCCAAGAACACCTGAGGGAGCAGTTGGGCGAGAAAGTATCGAGGTTCGAGCTTTGGTCTTTGGTTAGAGCTTACTGTAGATAGTACGGTTATGAATTTACGACGTTTGATATGCCAATCCTGAGCTTACGAGCTGCTTTTCATCGTGCAGGCAAACAGTACGCGATGCGTTTCGCCGTCAACTTCTTCAAAGTCCGCTACGGATCAGGCGTGCCTTCACAACTCAAACTTTTGATTAAAGCAACAGATACCGGCTGGTCGCATCAAGATACCCTTTGCAGTGCGAGGTTGGATACACGAGATCGTCATCAGCGCATAGCCGAGTACATTTCACAGCTTGGCAACGCCTTCTCCCACGCTTCATTACCAGAAACCCTCGGCCTGGATTTGCGGGGGACAACCTCGTACCTATCATTCATCTTTGCATGCAGATAACCAGCTCGGACCTACTGCTATCGTGAGTGTTTTGCGCGGCCAAGACCGCCGCGGTCTTGGAAGGGTGTCCCAATCGGGAAGGAGGTCTTCTATGGTGACCAGGAACCTGTCGACTGTACTCATCTATAGGGTGGTTACGGGATGAACGACATACCCCTCACCATGTATAAAGTCTGTGTGGAGGTCCTCGTTTGTACTACACGGGCTTTACCCTCTACTCTCTGCCACACATTACCATGAAGGTATCCACCCTTCTCAGTCTGCTGCCTACAGCAGCTCTTGCACACGACCTGCTGAGTGTAGCTTTCTTCGCAAAAGAGAAGACTCAATTGCTGGACTTTGTTTCGGACAACGAACACATCGACTATGGCTGCCGTCCGGTGGTCATTCCTTCCAACAATGAGCACAAACTCCACGCTATGCTCACTGAGGAGCAAGTCCATCACTATAGGAGGAGCCTGGATGCTGGCGCTATTCGTGTTGAGACTCTCGACCATCTGAACAAGCGACAGACTGCAACGGCACCCATTGGTAAGGGCGACCGCTTCAAGGGAGGCAAGGTTGCCCCTCGCGGCTTAGGTAACCAGAAGCCTGATGTGTATGGCTCATACCAGAGGGCTGGTATTCTGAACGCCGACGAAGTCTACACGGCACTGAAAGGCCTAGAGAAAGAGTATGGTCTGGAACTGTTCAAGGCACCATATAAGACCTTCGAAGGCAACACAGTTTGGGGCGGTGTAGCCAACAAAGCTGAGAAGATCAAGAAGGGCAAGCAACACATCTACTTCACTTCCGGTATCCACGCTCGTGAGCGGGGTGGTCCAGACAATCTGATCTACTTCATCTCGGATCTTCTGTACGCCAACAAGCACCGCAAGGGCCTGACCTACGGCAACAAAACCTACACCAACTCCGATGTCAAGAAAGCCCTTGGCGCAGGAATCGTCTTCATCCCCATGACCAACCCAGACGGCGTCCGCCACGACCAGGCGAACAGCAATCTCTGGCGCAAGAACCGCAACCCTGCTTCTTCCGTCTCCGGCATCAACGCCAGCGTCGGCGTAGACCTGAACCGCAACTTCGATTTCCTATGGAACTTCACCAAGCACTTCGACCCCTCAGTCTCTCCCGCGTCGACAAACTCGTCATCCCAGGCTTTCTACGGGACTGCGCCGTTCTCAGAGCCAGAGACACGCAACATGAAGTGGGTGTACGACATATTCCCCAAGATCAGGTGGTTCATCGACGTGCACTCTGCTGCAGGCACGCTGCTGTACTCCTGGGGCGATGATATCAACCAATCCAATGATCCTAAGCAGAGCCAGTTCAACCCTGCTTACGACGGTAAGCGCGGCGTTGTGAACGACACACTGTACCGCGAGTACATTGAAGAGGAGGACTGGTACAATATCGAGCTGCAGGCAAACAGGACCACCGCTGCTATGGTGTCGGTTGGTGGGCGAACATACGTGCCGCAGCAGGCTGTTGGTCTGTACCCGACGAGCGGTGCGTCTGATGATTGGGCGTCTAGTCGCTGGTACGGAGACAAGAAGCTCAACAAGGTGCATGGATACACGCTGGAGTTTGGGTACCCTACAAACTTTTACCCAACCGCGGAGGAGTACGTTCAGAACATCATTGACACCAATGCTGGTTTCATGGAGTTCATTCTTACTGCCGATGAAATTGGTCTGAAGGATGAACGGAATGAATGAGGGAAAGGTTGATGATGTTATGAGATACGAGGTGACGAAGTTGTGAAGTAGTTGTAGACTTGAATGTACTACTTGAAAACAAACGGGTATCTTAAGAACGCCTGACGACTCTGAGACGTGACGCTCATACTCACCCCGCTGCCTTGCTCCGGGCTAATGGCTTCTGAGGTGGCTGTGGAGGCGGCATACCTTCCTTACTCATCAAAATATCGCCATTCGAGTCCTCTTGCTGCTCTTCTTCCCTCCTCGCTGTCTCTCCCAACCGTCTCCGATCCTTCTCCGCCCTCAGCTCGTTCCCAAACCCCCTCCATGTCAACTTTACATTCTTCTTTCCTTCTTTCGCAGCACACAGCGCATCGTGCCATCCCTTGTGCTCTCGATTCGCGCCTCTTACAGTCCGAGTCTTCAGACCTTTCTCAGCGTAGCCCACAAGATTGAAGACCTTTCGAGGGTCGTCTGGGTCGATGTCTGGTTGTAAGCTCCAGTTGCCGTTGGTACAGATCAATTGAGATAGAAAGTTGTCATGGATGGGTCCACTAAAGACAAACCACTCCACCATCCCGGACTGCTGATCTGCTCGTAGTGCCAATGCGGAGCCCTGGCCATGCAGGATACTGGGCAGATATGCAGCTTCAATGCATTCAGATTGTATCTCGTCGCCCTCTACTACTGTAGAGTACCGAATGGGATCGAAGCTTGTCAATTTGTCACAGTACTCTTTCTGGCTCTGCAGTGCTTTTTGAACCACATAGAGAGATAGGAGATGTGCGCGCAAGTGATAGATAGGAATGTCGCGTTGATAGGAGCGGTATTGAATGACTTGGAGGCCTGCAATGGAGTCGTGTGCATGACCGTAGCCGTAAGGCTTGGCGTTTGGTGTTGGTGATCGATGCGAACGTTTGATCATTTTGGAGGTGAAGACTGATGGTGGATCGGATAGTGGCTGAGTTGGAAAAAAGTGTTGATTGGAGAGAAGGAAGGTTGCAGGGTTAGTGCGATGGATATGTAAACTAGTGGCGCTAAGATGAGGAGTTGAGGTGAAAGTGCGCCTTCACCATGAACAGGCGGCGGCGAACAGGCATCCGTGCGGCTTTCTGACGGTGAGGCACTCCTCTGGTAACATATTCATGTCAACAGTCTGTTCGTATGATGGCTGCGAGAATTTTGTGAAGCTCACCGCGCTATGGAGCTGCAGGTAAGTTGAAGTAGTCCTCCGCTGTAATGAAGTGATCAGGATGCTGTGTGTCACTGGCAGAGGCGAAATGATGCGAACCAATATGTCGAAAGCCCAAGCTTCGGTAGAATCGCGTGGCAGTAGCTTGGAGCTCCGAGGAGATATCCCTTCGAAGTTTGTCGCGCGCCCCTACCTGCTCTGTCCACGGCGCGTCGTCAAATGCATCTTATTCAGAGGTGCAACGATTGACTTCGGAGGTGAGCGGGTTTGGGAATACAATCGTGAAAAAGACCACCGGTCCAAGCGGCACCTGTTGGTGATGGCTTTTACAAGCTTAGTGGCTAGGACTTGGCGTTTGTGGAGATGGTCCACGCTGATTCCGTCGAGAAATAGTCGGTCGGCGGTGTTGAACTCCTCTTGCCAGACGCCAGAGCCCTTCGCAAATGGATCCTCGCGATACTGGAGGTCCAAGAACCCATAGCTGTCGAACAGCTCGGACGCCATGTCTGCGGTTCCTTGTTTGTATTCTTCAAGCTTTTCGTAGAAGTTGCTAGCAATTCTGTCGCGGCGAATCAACACAGCATTGCAGCGAGCTATCTCGTAGCTGTCAGCAACCACAGTGCCATTCAGCTGCTCAAGCCCATAATAGTCGTCCATCTCTTGGTCTTTTGAGGCAGCATACTCCGATTCGGCCTTTGCGGAGTCGCTATAGTCGCGGAGTGGAAACTTCACCATGACCGTCGCGTTCGAGGTATCGAGATGTTGTCGTTTACGCTCATATTAGAGCTCTGCTTCTTCCCGTCGCTTCCGCGCAGCTTTCGCTCTCTTCTGCCGTTCCTCAAAGGGATCGTTCTGGGTACTCTCTAGGAGAGTCATGAGGGCTATTCGTGTGTCAGTATTTCAGCAAAACAGTCGATCGTCCACGCAACAGTCTCAGCGAGTATCCTCATTAGGTGTATGCTGGTGAGCAAGAGAAAGGTTCGCTACAACAAAATGATCTGATCCTCGACAGACGTAGGCGAGGAGGTTGGCCAGGTACTGTATGAGTATGTTTGACTCTATTGCTCGAGATTCTATAAAAGTTGGGTTAAATACTTATGAAAACGATGTTGTGGGGTTCTCCTTATGGCAGACCTGGCTAGTGAGCAGTTCGAACAATGGTTGATGAAGCGGGGGCGCGTTCATGGATACACGTCCACGCGTCTGCCCATCTATAATGAACTAGTCTCGTTTAGGTTGAACAATGAGACCAATGATTAAAGGATCGCAAAATCTCCAAACTCTTATATACGAAGACTGCACGACATGCACCGCAATGCAACACTTGTGGTGCTCACAAGACGTTCTGAGAGCTCGCGAATATATTCATCACTTTGGCTTGATGACGACATGTCTCAACCCGTCACGGTAGTTACCGCTAGGTTCGACCCTGCCGCAAATACAATCACAGGACAAAAGTCTGTTCGCGCAGTTGCGCACAGGCCACCATCTTGACTTTTGAGTGAATGTTCACAATGCCTTTTCTCAACAACCACATGGTGAAAAGTGGATCTGATTTGATAGAATTGATGCACTTGTTCTCAATATTTAGTTTGGTAGCCCTGTGCTCTGATGCAGGCTTTGAGTTGCTTTGGCATTGAGTAGATGAGCAATCTGATCAGTTTATTGGGTATAGCCTTCCATGCTTCTTTTAGACCTTCACAGAAGCGCTCCCACTCATTGGCTGTGAGGGCTCGGCTCGGTCCCACCTGAGCTACACCAACCAAAAAGGTACAGTAACCCAATAGATATGGGTACTGTAACGACACAGGTAAGAGAGGACTCCGATATGGGTTCGAATCCGCTACGAGGTGTATGGGAGCACTGGGATAGATAGAACTAGGAGTAAACCTCTATTCCTATAGGTCTTGTACGAAAGGATACTCAAAAACTATCTACCATAACTATGTACACTGCCCTGCTTATATACCTAACAGCTCGATGTAGCTCGGGGGATACCGGTAGGTAGTAGGGTAGGGATCGGTTAGGAGTCGGATAGCAATCGTGTGAGTAGTATGAGGAAGAAACGGTTGGTACGGTTCTTACAGGTACTGGGAGCCAAACAGTATATACCCGTGACATTGGCAGAGTCTCCAAGAGTGTCAAATTCTGGGTGAAGCACATGAAGTTTCCATTTGAGAGCCCACCATATGTGCTCAATGGGGTTGAGATCAGGTGAGTATAGGGGTACTTCAATGGTCCAAATCCCATGACTCTCTAACCACTTTTTGGTGTACTTTGCAGTGTGTATACATGCATTGTCTTGTATAGACCTCTCCCCTGGTTTGTACTTGGGTATTAGTCCTTCTTCAAGTGCTTTGTAGTAGCTCTAGGCAGTATATCCATGACATTTGGCAATAAAGTTGTGCTCCATGATCACCAGCTCACTCCCCCAAACTCAGCCACCTGGAGTACACCAAATTGAGTCCCAAACCATCTGCTGCTTTGGTGTTGATGAGCTTCTCTCATGAACTTTATCATGATCAAATTTCTTACCAGGATACTGGAAACTCCATTCCTGGTTCTGCCCAGAACCTCTTGCAATGCTGCACTCATCTGTAAGGGTATCTGTGACAGCAAGCTCAGTAGGAATGGGGGGTGGTCTTGTAAGATTAATTGCTACCATTCCCTGGCCATTGTGTGCCCAATTATCTATGCGCTCTTGCCTGTACCACGCTAGCGTCCCAATGGGTTAGCGCCATTGTCCCAACACGTGACAGCCTACTTCACTACAGCACTGTAACCCTGTTACATCATCAGAGAACTTCACAGTCACCCTCTTGTAGTTGAAATTGCGCCAGTCACGTGAGTATTTGAGGCACAACAAGCTTATAGCTCTGTTGATCTTTGGCTGGCGCTTTGATCTGAAGTTCTTTAAGCCTTGCGCAAGAAGTGCTTGGTATACTGTCTTTTTGCAACAATGGGGTGTGCAAAGGTGGATGGCCAGAGGTTGGCTTCCTCTAAGAGCTGACTGTATTCAATTTTTGGATATTTTCAACTGACACAAAGAAGTAGACGCTTCTGTCAACGTGTCAATACAGGTGGCCTGCCGCTGCAAGGGCGTGACTTGTTGCTGTTGTGGGTGTCCCATCGGGCTGACAACCTGCCTCAACTGAAGCTATCACATGATTGCACTCATGCTCTGATAATTCAGCACCAGGCCTTTGATTGCCTAAATTTTGGATGTCAAAAGCTCTCATTTGGGTGGTACAGTGTATGGGTGAAGTTGTTCACTACCTGATGCAGTTGCGTTGTTGGGTCGTGCACTGGCCGTACGCGAACAGACTAAAGTCTTAGTACTGTAGCAGCGAGCTGAGGCTGTGTCAGCGCGACGTGCATCATGTCTCAGCAGCGCAAAGTACCTATTTACTTGACATTCCAATGCTGATATCGCCTGCACACCGATCTTACCGATCTTGAACAGGCTGCCTCTCCATCGCGCTTCTTCTTGTTCTACCTCTGAAGTACACCCGCCAGCTGATCACTAACAAGGTTGAGAAGCCCACATTCGCTTGTTACAAAGCTGCAGCATACAGCATATCGCGATGAGCGCAAAGCACAACCTCCACATCGCCGCTTCGATACCACCGCATCTTACACCCGCAGAGGTCATTGCTGCCCTTCACGACCATAACACAGCACTCACTCTCCAAGCCCTAACGACTGGGCATGAGAAGCTGTCGAACACCGCACCAGAAACGCTGAAAGACACATACTGGTACCCGACCGACCTAAATCCAGTCCACACATACAGCGTTACCGAGTGCGTCACCGTCTTACCCGGCATTGGACAGTGGGGAAAGAAGAACATCACCTTCCCCAGCTGCTTCCAGAACATACCCACTGGCATTAAGTCGCGTGCAGACGTATCTGGTGTAACATTGCGCGCAGACTACCGTATCATAAAGGGCGGCGCAGACGGCGAAGTTGATGGCGAAGGCCAGGGCATTGGCGACGCTGAGTGGGTGCTGGTCGAAGATGCTGAGGTCAGCTGCTCGTGGTGGCTGATGCCGTTTGTGAAGGGCAAGATGGAGCAGGCGCACCGCGACTTATGTCGCAAAATTATCGAGAAAGTGGAGATGCAGAAACGACAAGACGACCTTGCGAACTCTGTCGGGAGAGGGCAAGAGCTGTCGCGAGGGCATGCAATCAGTGCGAATGCGGCGCGAGTTGAGGCTGACGCGAACGAGTCGCAGAGAGTGGAGCTGCCTGCACCAGGCTCACAGAAGATTTTCTACGGCTGAGGACGTATCCTGATCAATGTCACGAACCTTAGACAGGATCATAGGTGTTGCATGCATTGTCTTGTCGGCTTTGCCGAGCTTGCAGCCACACCTAATTGTCATGTCGCTCCAACCCCACCATGACAACAACGCAGCCCAGAAAATCGTACGCTTCGCTGCACTATCAGCCCTCCAGACTACTGTGCCGTATACAGATAACCACCTTCGATCCGTAGCTGGTAGCTACAGACTATCGCAATGCTCTGTAAGGTTTGTTTAGGTTCCTTTACGTGCGCGCCTCAATTGCACCAGCCTGCCGAAGGCACCTGGCAGCACAACATTGCTCATCAGCAAACATACGTAGACCCACGTCGATCTGCCCAGAAACATTGTTGTATGTGCTGTAGGCTGTTGGAGACATTCAAAGACCATTGGTGTGCTCTACAAAAAATTACAGACGTTCCACGATGCTCCAGCTCCGAAGTACACGGTCACAAGCCGTACGACAGATGTCGAAAGCTTGCACTGCAACTGCAGTCAATGGCTCAATAACTGTCTCATCTCGCACCCTGGTTGTGAGCGTATGAGAACATCTGGATGGTACCCAACTCGCTTACTGGATCTTGCCAGTGCCGAACCCGCTGTTGTAAGTCCTTATGTGACGCTAAGCCATTCCTAGGGTGGCGCCAGTATTACAAAATTAACACAACAAACCTAGGTCTATTCAAAGACGGCTTACCGATTGCGACCCTGCACCTGGCTGGATTCGTGTTGAAGGGCTTCCCAGAAAGGTTATTCTTCATAAGACAGACTCCTCTTGGCCAAACAAACAGTACTCTTTCACCGACGCTGGCAGGGTTCCGACAGCTCTACAAGCTTGATTGGATCAAGACCCATGCCAGTCAGAACTGTCCGAACGGCTGTATTGTCTCCCGCTCTTCTTGTATAATCAGCGCCAGAATTTCGATGATTGAGTCTATGGCATGCTTCTTCGACCGAACAGCGATCCGGCCGATACGTTCTATCGCGCTGGTCGGTGTGAAGCCGTTGACTTGCAGTGGGTTCAGACAATCACAACTCCGTATCCGACCTCGTCCTTAAGAGGGTCTCCCATTTGACTCGCAAAAAGGGTACACTGTGAAGCTGGTCTGAACCAAGGATTCACTGTGTGCCACGGACTCGTTCCGCCACACACGAATACATCACAGCCGAGGATGTGCAACCCATGACCTTATTTCTAGACAATGGGCATCATCATCTGTTAATCAGTAGCCATCGGTTCCTCCTGGTTGTCTATCGCCTACGGCATAGTACATCCCAGCTTTCACCTTTCCATGCCCCACCTCTGTCCTCGTATATACAGCCATTAGGAACGTCTCACTTTCGCCGCCCAAAATCCTACTCCAGCAACTGCCTTCCTCCTATATCTCGCCAAACCCTGCTTCATCACCTCTTCAACCTGCTTTCGCTCGGCGCCATGCTTCGGCCACATATGCAATAACGCATCGAAATTGTCGCCAATGAGGTACTACACGAGCATCGATGGTCTTAGAATGAGCTACTCATATGCCTTCAATGTCAGGAATGACGAGTAGCCGAGAGTGCTTGGCGAGATGAAGGACGCTGCTTCACCAAGGTTGGAACCGGATGGTGTGTGCAATATCTGAATCCCGAGGGAGACCAGAAACGTTTCAACGAGGCGCGTGAAAGTTGGATCTTGCGCATGAATTTCTATCCGCCCTTCCTGGAGGTAGTCGCGGATGGCTAGCAAGATGACCAGCTATTTGTGGCGCCGCGACTGACCTTTCGTAACGAGGAGACTGCCACGGCCCAGGGAGACGATAGGCGTGATTGCTGTACTGGATACCGAGACAGCGTGGGATTGTCGGTTCACAGACTAGGATAGTTGCGATTGAGTGTATAGGTCTTGTAGGTCGAGCAGTTGAGTTGTGAGTTGAAGCAGCTCACGTGGTAGAGACTTTGTTCTTTGGTTGTCGATTCGCTTTCTGTCGCGGGGCGCTCACTTCGAAATCGTCTACGGCATGAGGCCTTGTGGGAAACCGGTTACCAACAAAATGACAATGCGATGTGGGTTTGTTCGAAAGGTCTGCTTCGTTGGATACATACCTACTCAATTTCACAAGAACGTGCCTAAGCCTCAGGGCTGTTAAACGCTCGTATGTCCTTGCGCGGTGTTGCAAAACCAGTGCCGTAAGCACGTAAACACCGAGATGAATGATCAGGCACTGCATCAAGAGGCGCATGCACATACTTCCCACGAACACCTTCAGTTTCATATCAACGAACATACAAGTAGCACGGGAGCTCTTGGGGTTTTGTTATCGAAGCTACTGTTGGCAAGCCACGATAGTTGTAGATAACATTTGGTCCGCTACTTCAAGGAGGCTACCAGAAACAATCTGGCTGACCTTGGATACTTCCGGCGACAATCCTTTCGATTACAATGTCATGAACGTCGCCTTCAAGTTGTTCCCTGATTTTCCCCGCGAGAAGATTGAACAAGCTAGGCAAGTATTCGACGACGTGGCTACAGGCTGACGGATCTTCGTTTCCATTCTATACAGGTCGATGCGAAGAAGACACCACCGTCCAAAATTCAAGTAGAAAGCTGCATTCCGAACGATGTAATGAGCTATGGATCACGAAGTGGCTCGTTGTGCGAGGCTATGGACCACGTGGTTACTGTTGAACTAAGAACGCTCATCAGCACGAAGCCAAAAGGTGAGGAAGGCCGCGGCCGGGTAGGTCTGACAACCAAGGAATGGCAGAACTTGGCTGCATTCACGAAGGATGTTTTGGCAAATTGGTTCGCCACCTATGACGCTGCCTGGAGGTCTTTAGAGTGAAGGTTGCTATTTTGAAGTATTTGAGCATTCTATCACTAACAGTAGCTAACGTCAAGCGCAGAAATAAGTACTTTTCTTTCAATTCATGAGTTTCGCAGCACGAGAACTACAATAACGAATGCCAATCCCGCCCAGGTCTCCTGAATCGATCCTCGAAGTTCTAGGAGACCCGGAGTAGTAGCCCGAGCGCTTTGCAATAGAAAAATTCGACTAGACTGTATGCCTTCATGCATCACCTGCACGTCTACTCTACGCCCAATCAAATCCCTACCGACAACCAAAGGATCTACTTACGCCACACCACAAACCAGCCGAGATTCGTCTTGACAAAGCCGTCGAAATCGTCCGGATCAACCTCATAACGAGACGCAGCATCTGCCTCAGCGCGTATCGCGATCTGCAATAACTCCCGACGTGGCAAGTCACCCTTAGTGCGCTCGATAAGTTCAGCGTCCTGTCGCGAGAGAGGGGCGGTGGAACGCCGCTCACCAGGCTCGAGCACGACGTCACGGCCACCAGGGTACACCTCAAAACTACCACCGTGGCGACCGTACGAAATGCGAGGTGGGAGGTCGTCGGGAGATGAGTCGCGGGTCATGCAAGGACGACCGTATGATGAGCCGTGTGAGTTGCGACCGGGACGCGTGAGTGGGTCGTCGTCGAAGTCTTGGTGACAGCGGCCCGTACCCCGGTCGAGGTACTCGTCTAGTTCGTCATATCGTCCGGAACGAGGATTGCTGTAAGCGTCATGACCACGAGGACCGCTGTAGCAAGGGGGACACGCTGTGTGAGAGAATCGACGAGAATGAGGAGAGTCCTCGTAGTAGTCATTCTCGGATGGTGGGCCACGACCGCGAGATCGAGGCTGGTCGTATGCATCGTACTCACGGCCGCCATAGCGGTCGTTGGATCGGTGACTACCATTGCCATAAGGATCGTTGCGAGGGTTGTAGCGTGACATTGTTGTTGTTGTTGTACAAGATATTGAGAGAGATGAACCTGATGTGTGAGTGGTTGAGTGGAATGGATGAGAATGGTGATTTGTGATACTTAGAAAGAGTTGGGGGAGACTTAAGTATCTTCAAGGCACTTGTGCGTGTGTGCTGAAAATGCGTAGGTGAACAGAATTTAAGGTGTGAAAAGCGCGTTATCATTGTATGTGGACGACATAACTTGCCGTATGGTCAGCACGAACCACCACAAGAGCCTTGTTCAACTACCATAATCCTGACGAGCAATGTTCTTTAACCAGGAATCATGCGATGCAGGTGAAGCAAGATGGAGGTGTGTACTAGTGGAGTAAAGGCAGTATAATGTAAAGAGCTTTCACTAGCAAGAAGCAAAGACAAAAAAAACTGCAGCCACAAATTTATTAGCAACAGCTATAGGAGGCAAGAAAAGTTCCTGATTTTCCACCTCCTAGCGTAAAGGACTTTTCCCGCCAGCACCCCTTAGTCGACAGTCTCGCCCGCCAATTGGTCGCTCTACACCCAAAAGCTCGCTAACTAACAATCAGATTGATAACAGTCTGGAACCATGAAGTCCTAGAAAGAATGTCTAAAGCCTTATACAAATAAGGTAGCTGGAGAGCCCGCTGAGACTCCCTTACCCACCCCAAGTATCCATCCAGTCGAAGTAGATTTGCCAATAGCCGATACATGGGTTCAACCGCATGTCACAAGGCTTGCCAGCGAACTCCCACTCTACCGCAGACGCCTGGCCGCGTGTTGAGTGAGAAAGCACAGGCCAAAATTCCCATCACATTTGTTCCAGCGCGATCATGCAGAAAGCTCTTTCCAGAGAGTACTGCTCTTGGATATATACCAACTTTTGACTTGCACACAGCATATCGAAAGTTGGTGCACATGCAGATTCTTCGTATGCGGACCTCCGTGTGCCTCTCTCCTTGCATTCAGCTGAAAAGGAGAAACCTTTGAAGAGGGGGAGTAAACGCAGCTGAGTGGTTCATTTCGATGGTAAACGACCTGATCGGCCTGGATAAGTATAATTTTCACTACAACGCAAGTTGAATTACAAAGTTGCATTCACTTTGCAAAGTGCATCTACTGCGCGTCCATACGCAAATAAGAGATTTGTATAGACAATTTCTGTTTGTGTACCGAGAACATCCGATGATAAACCTGCTAATTCTGTAATTGAAATGCAAATTATAGAGCATCTACATAAGAAGGACATACGAGCCGTCGACTACATCCAAAAACCACTGCCTTACAAAAGATATTCCTTACCATCATTCACCTCTTACTTCATCAAAACTCACCGTTGGCCAACGTCGCAGGCTCATGCTGACACTCTAGCAGAACTCATACGACGGGAACCAGCCCCATCCATACCCACATACATTCGCCGGGCGCTCCTCGTACTTACGCTGCTGCTGCTCACGCAGCGCCTGCTGATACGCAAGATACTCATCATTCCCCGCCGTAACAGCACCACGACGACCGCCACGACGCGAGCTTGCATACTCATCATATGACTCGCGCTCTGCACAGCGGCGCTCACGGTCCTGTTCACGTTGAATCTGATACTCCAGCTCAGCCTGCTTGCGCTCACGCTCTCGGCAGGCTTCACGGTCTTCAGGGTCGGAGTAGGTTTGCTCAGATAGACGAGACCGGCGACCGAAGTCGTACGCACAGTCACGGTCATCCCGACCTAGCCGTGTGCGAGGGTCAGAGTAAGAGGTGGAGGTGGACTCATCGACTTGGTACCGAGACATGCGGCGGCGCAGATCTTCTTCACCTGCATACGCGCCCTCCATAGGGTATCCATGTTCATCAAGGCCGGAGTGGCGAGAAGAGTGAGTGCGGGTAAAGCGCGAAGCGTGGTGGTATGGAGAAGAGTGGCCGTAATGAGACGTGCAGTCCGAGAAGGCGTTGGATGAAGGACCGCGGGAGTGGCCGTGTGTGGAGAACTCACCGGTATCGTAGCGGTCGTCGTACGTGTACTGGCCGTCACTGTAGGTCTCGAAGCGGGAGTAGCGTGGCATGATGTTTTAGTGTTGTGGATGTGGTAGTAATCGGTTGAGGTTAGTTCAGATGGGTATGGTTATGGGTACCTGAGCGCAAAATTAGTAGCATTCTGTATGTGAGGATCATCGTGGAGGTGCTGAACAGTGTTGGTCTGGTGGGTGGATGGTGTTTTCACTGTCGATGCTGTGGTTGAAGAAGGGACTTGTAACGCCAGTGAACGTGCCTCACGTTCAAAAGCCCAGCCAACTTGATTCACCAGTTCGCTAGAACGGGGACCCCGCAGGTATGTGGTCTGAACAGCATGTTCATTCGATTTGTTGGCGCAAGACGATTGCTGCTAGTTCAAATGCTCCGAATGACAATCATTGATCTAGCAAGCGGAGATTGTTCCTCGCAATCACAGACTACCATGTGCTTGATGGAGATGCCTCTCGTAGCTGGATGTGATTCACAGGGACTTTCCAACGTGAGAGAGAGGACTTCGAGGCTACAAAAACGAAAAGGTCGAGGTGAACAATGATGCAGACTGATTCCTGTCAGCCACTCGATGCTCGTCGTCCTTGTTGACCTTCCCAACCTTCTGGACAGCTCCGAATCGACCAGGCATTAGGTACCGTCGATCGCCCACGGCTAGCCGCCGTAACACAGCCAAGTTGGTCGTTTCAGGTGTGCAGCCGGTGAACGTGGAGAAGCGGGCGTTCTGCAGATCGCCATGCTTGACCGTTTTGCGTAGATTGAATGCTTCATCGGTCAGCAGCCGCAGTTTCAAGGGACGCCCTGCAGCTTTGTTAGTTCTTGTGCCACGGCTTGGTTTTCAATCTCTGCCTGGGCTTGACCTCCTGCCAGCCAGAACGAACAAACGAAGGCATGTCTCAACGCCTAGCACACCAGACAAAAAGCATCTGCCGTGCGACAAGCAGAGAGCAAATTTCGGAAATAAACCACGGACAGGCGCATGCAGTGATGTGTTGAGCGCTGGCAGCAGACCCACAGATCTTCAATGGTGCTCAACTCTCCGACCGCAAGGGAGATCCCGTCTGCGCACAGTGTGGTACGAAAAGCCGTGGTATTTAGCCGTTCTGGCCATTCTACTGGCTGAGAGGACAAAATTGCGCAAGATTACGACGGCATTTTGACGGCCTCCGTAAGGAAAGAAATCTCTGATGTGGGTGTGGGTTGTGGTGAGCTGTGTGGGTGCTGACAAAGGTGTGCCTGGCTAATGCGTGTGCATGACAGGTGGTGAACCGTTCGTGGAGTGCTGAGTGGAGCCTGCGTTCCTTCCAGACCCGGGTGGATTGTTGAGCTGCTGAGGCTGTCGTGGCTGTTGAAGAGCTCAGCTGCACGCTGTAGCAGTGACCCAATCGTACAGAGATAGGGCACTCTGGAATGTGAACGAGTGCTGCAAGACACTGCGGGAGGCTGCACGTGGTGAGTAGCAAAGACTGCTCGATATATTGGCCAAGCTGCAAGAGGCAGTTAACGTGTGGGGACACCAAATGGGCCGCTCATCCCCCGAGCTGACAGGCCTTGCGACGCAGGGCGGTCTTCGATGCTCAACACAGGCGGCAACGGATTGAAGCAGTGCGACATGTTTGCAGCGACGCATGAAATGGCAGCTGCTACATGGCGATATTTGAGGTGGTGCAGGGCGCTGAGGGTTTCTTTGTGCTCTGCAGCAGTTCATCAAGCACGGCTAGAGGTGCATGCAATAAATAGATTAAGTTATGCGCCACGATCCGGGAAGGGTTCGGGCGAGCAGTCAGCTGCAAAAGAGGGAAAAGAGGATGCAGGACGGCCTCGACACCAAGCAAAGACCCCCTCTACCCGCCCGCGCGCTGATCGTCTGCGTTTGACACTGTCCTCCGGCTGCAACACCATCATCACCAAGCGAGCAGACAGAGCGTTTGGGACGTAGTCTTTGTGTTCACATCCAGCATCCTTCATCCGCGTGCACAACGCTGTCCCTGGCCTGAGCGGGGCGAGGCGAAACACGCGCGGCTTCCACAGCGTGAACCGGGGCCCAGCTCCCAACAGCGTCTGGCACCTCGTTAGGCACCTCATTTCCCACGCCTGTCCTGAGGCCGTCCCCTTCTCTACACGGGCATCTTCGCTGCTCTTTGTCGTTTTCTTGCGTCTTCGTATATTCATACCTTTCGTCACTCGCTGTGTTTATCTTCGACCGCCTCTTCAGGCTCCCTTGGCCGTCGCCGCTTCCTCGTCTGCGCTCACTCCTTTAGCGCGCCTGCCTCCTTCGATCACCGTCCCTTCCTTCTTTGTCCTCGATCAGCACCGCGGACCGCCGTCGCATAACGGCTGTTCTCGCTGCCGCATCCCTTCGCCAGCCAGCGTTGCACATCGCTGGGTTGGTGTACCTGCCTGCTGACGTCTGGCCTTTTGACCAACTGTGCCTGCCGATCTGCTGAACCATCACCATCACCACCATGAAGCTCGACGCCCGCAGAGGTGCGCTCACCACACTCGAGTCAAGCCGACCACTGCTAACAAGCACACAGAACTTGAGCATGTTCTCTTCAAGCGTTGCGTCGTATGCGACTCCGGCGGCAAGAGCCTGTCCTGCGATGGCATGAACTGCTCTGGAGGGAAGGTCTGCATATTGACACCACAGAGCTGCGATGCCTGCGCCAGCGTATCCTGCCAAATTGACCCCACAGCGCCAAAGAACACATCCAGCAAGCCGAACGTTGGTGCCATTGCTGGCGGTGTCATTGGAGGTGTCGCTGTTATTGCCATTCTCGTTTTTGTTATATGGAAGTACTGTCTGAAGGGAAAGAGGCGGCCGATATCAGAGATGGAGTGGCAGCAGGAGGAGATGGAGCACGAAGAGAAGGCAGACAACGATTTCGCGTCGCGGCGAAGTGCACGAGCATCCACACACACCGTTGCCTCGATGGCCTCGTCCGTCCTTACTCGTGCCTCCAACATCATTCAGATCGCCTATATCCCTGGTGTCACGAACCGCTCAGGACCCGGATCTCCCGACGTTCTCGTCCCTCCCGTACCGCCGATTCCTGCCATGTCTCCCTCGTCTGGCATGGGCAGCCCTTACTCCAATGCCGACCAGCACTTCTTCGTTCCCGACTTCCGCGACTCCATGGCGTCTGACAGCACCGGTGGACGTCAAAGCATTGCGCCCAGTCTTGCCCGTAACAGTGTCGCTTCAACCATGTACCGCCAGAACGCTATCGTTTCTCCTCTGCCGGCTCAGACGGTCGTGCGCGGAAAGGCCGCCGTTGTTAGTGTCAAGTCGAACGGCTCCAACACGCCTGAAGACGCATTGAGCATGATGAGCACACCACCGGTACCTCAGATCGATCCTAAGCACGCGCAGCAAGTGAAGCCTATCCGCATCCAGATGCCTGGCCTCAGCTCCAAGAGCTCTATCCAGAGCACAGCAACCCTGGGACCAGTCCGCGCATTGAATATCACAAAGAAGAAGAGCTCCGACACCACACCACCCAAGAGCTCATCGAGTTCTTTCAACAGCAGCGATAGGACAGCAGTAGCAACACCTGAGGCTCTTGTACCTCCCGCACGACCACTCACCAACTTCTCGATAGCCTCTAGCGACTCAGGTGTATCGCACGCACGCGCCTGTCAGACTGTCAGCTTGGCAGACTCGGACTCAGAATCTGACGACGAGGAAGACCACCAGCGCTCCCGCCAGAGCCTGCTGCGCAACTCGCTGAGCTCGCGCGACTCGGGCGTGACCGATATCCAGGATGCCACACCAACAGGTCTCGTTGATCTTCGCAGCCCCTTCAGCGACACCCTGGCCATCGACCGAACCGACCGACCGGCGATAGGGTCACGCATCACGTCTTACGACACCGACCGCTCGCGCATGCCCATGACACCCATCGTCGAGGAGTCGGAGCGCCGGGCAAGCGCGATGTCGAAGCGGGACCAGAGCCCGTTTGCAGACAACTTCAGGAGTGACCTGAAGTAGGCGCTGCTTGTGGACCTTTGAAGGATTGGATTGGTTATTGGCAAGGCGTTTGGTGCATAGCCCCCACGTCTAGCGGACTGGGCGAGCAATTTTTTCATGGTTTTGTTTGGGAGATATCACGGTTATTCAGCCAGCGACGGCATTTTTCGTTCGATTTGCACTTCATTTCTACGAATATGGATACCTTTGACATGTGCGATGAGCAGCACGTTTAGCTTCAATGTATGTATGTATTGACTCGAGGAATGAACACATACCGTTTTCCTTAGAACAATCGGACTGATTGTTTGTGTGGGTTCTAAGGGAGTTTGTGCTCGTGAGCGTGCTACGGAACGTTTGTTTCGACTTGCACTGGCGTGACAGACGATCATGCGTTTCAATACTCTGCAATTAGAACAGCACCGTTGCCGAGGAAGATGTTGAAACGTCTACAACAACCTTAAAGAATATGTATAATTGTGCTAATGGTCCTTGTGCATGATTGTGCACCCTAACGGGCTTTATGTGAGGACGTGCATAACGGTGATCGGCGCATGGAGAGCCTCGGAGGACGCCGATGATGGCATGTGGAGTATCATATCGTGGAGGGGCAGCACGGGCAGCTACAATCACGGATTGCTTTCTTCAACTGGGGCATTACTTGCGAAAAGGATTTCATCCTCGCCTTTCTTCTCTGCGACCCTCCCCTGGACTGATGTTGACATCTAATTCACAGGCTTGAGCTCTAAGCAAGCTATCAAACAGCTCACAGAGCTCGAACTACTGCATATCTCCAGCTCCAGCAGCACACGACAACACCTCGCAAACTCAAGGCTTTCAACACCACAACTCCTCTCACGCCCAATCGCTCCATATTCTCGGATTTGACGGCAAGTCTACAGCGAACACAACCTCTGCATGCTCTCCAACACAACGCACCGCATCGAAGCGCTCTCCAACCACCTAGCCACCACACTAGCTACCACGGCACCGACACCTACAGACCAACCATCCACGATGTCGACTGAGAAGAAACCCCCAATCACATGCCACGCTCTCGACACCACCATCGGCAAACCTGCGGCAAATATACCGGTCGTTCTTACCTTGCTCAATCCATCCTCGTCTTCCGACTCATCGCTGAAGTTCAGCGCAACCACAAACGCCGACGGTCGCGTCACAACTTGGAAGCCTGCGAGCCCATTTTCAAGCCAGGGGTTGGAGGAGGTGTTTCATGAGCAGGGGGACAAGAAGTATAGCTTGACATTCGGCACTGAGGCATACTTTGGAGGGAGAGGGGTTGATACTTTCTTTCCGGAGGTTGTTGTGCAGTTTGTGGTGAGGGAGGGGCAGAAGGGGGAGCATTTTCATGTGCCGGTACTTTTGGGGCCGTTTGGGTATACGACGTATCGGGGTTCGTAGTTGGAGAGGGGGAGGATGGGGAGAGAGCGAGGAGTGGAGAGGATACAAAGCATGACGGCAGTCCAACGAGCAGAGAGCTGCGGATTGTCAGGTGCAAGCCTCACCAGAAATTTGCTTACAGAAATGGTGCGTCTGTCAAGAGACTATAGAAATGACCTTCTTGCACAACACTTCTCGCACAACGACCATGAATTGATTGATTAATTGGTTTAACGTCCTATCTGAGTCTAAGACTACGGACAGCGCGTCCAACGGACCGTATTACTGTCGGTAGTACTGCCCGTACTATGGGCACGTGATCAGTACCGTAGTGGAGGTGAGGTCAACAGTACAGTACTCCGTACGTAACTAGAGGAGCAACAGTACTACTGAAAGATCAAGGCTTGGCATGGGATGGTTGCTGTGAAGTACCAAATTGGGCCTGTGCGCCATTGTCAAACCTCAATACCACGCCCAATGCAAGGGCTATTGCGACAACCTCAGATTTGCTTAATTGAGTCACATGTGATGTACTAGCGTCTCGTCTAGGGGCTTGGCAGCTGGTTAGCGTCAATTGCCGCCATTGTTGTTTTGTAACTATCCCTATAACACCACAATGCCCGTACGCCTATGGCCACCCATGCCTCTACACCCACCTAAAACAAGCCCTGGCTTATACAATCAAGTCCTTCACCATCACACACACATACAATGTGCTAGGATAATGCAGACACCTGATGAAGGAGAGTAAATCCAGAGCTTTTTAAGGCATCTTGGCCCCGGTATGACGCATGCTCTGCCACGCAGTATAAGGCCACTAGCCCCTCTACACTAGTAGATGTTGGTGAAGGTCTTCTGCCTTGCTCTGCCGTATATGTAAGCACCTCTGGTGAGAAGGTCCTTAGGGCTCCTCACGTTGGATCCACATTATCTATCGACTCGGCACTAGTGGGATGGCTGGAGCTCTGGGTGGCTGGAAAAGAGATTTATGTGTAAGTTATCCTTTAAGCCTCATCCACAACTCTTAACTGACTTTCAGCCATGCAGCAATATTTTACCACATCCCGCCCCACCCAAGGTGTCGCCCAACAGCATGAGACTCCTTCACCAATATACCATGGCCCCAGCTCTAAGCGGCTTAGCAAGATGAGGGCTTCCAAGTACTCTCAGTCATCCCAAGCCTCATCATCAACGTCAACGTCATACTCTCAAACTGGCTCTCAAGCCTCATCAGCCATCTGTCTTCATTCTCCAGAGATCGCGCCACCCACGCCTGGGAGTCCTTCACTGATACCTCGAACTGTACCCACACACAACTACCCATCAGCTGACAACAAGCTGGAGGTTAAGGGGGTGGAATTTGATGTAGATTTCAACCACGTATACGTCAGGGGTACCCGTCTCTAGCCATCCCGATTGGGTTATGCTGTCAAACACAAGAGTACTATAGCGGGTAGCCAATCGTTATCAAATATATGGGCTCATGGACTTCAACTACAGTACACTGAGCTTGACGGCAGCATCAGCGGAGTGTGGTTATGTAAGCTTTGTCACCAAGCCCGCTCTAAATCCAACACTAAGTACACCATCAACGGCACCTCGTACATACGATCACACATCAAGAAGAAGCACGCTATCAATCCACTTACTGGCAACAACATCCTGAGTACCCCTGACAACCTCCCTGAGTCTCCGTTCACCCACGCTGCTCACATCCCCGGTACAGCAACTCATACATCACATATGCCTTGGGAAGAAGAGCACTTTCAACACTCTATTATTGATTGGACAATTGTGAGAGATATGAGCTTCTCTGACGTCACATGTGCGGCAACGAGGGGTCTATTGATGTGGAATCAATCAAATCTACTTCACGCTATCCCCAATTCGAAAACCACGCTCTCTGAGTACATCAACAAGTACTACATACTGTCACGGTATCCTCTCCAGATCCCCTGACAATATCCGGATCCGCTCCGTACTGTCCCTGACCGTACGCACCAAATCCCCAGCATCCTTACGCGCCTCCGAAGCGGACGTACAACCTCTGGTCACCTCCGGAGCGGGCCTGCATGTCATCCTGACATGGCTTGCAGCCAACAACAACCC